TTTGAGGATTTTATTGACAGAGTTGAATATCTGGGAAATAAAAAGGAAGTGCAGGTAAGTATTGTGATTATTATGAATGTTGTTCACAGTGCTAAATAGAACAAAGGTAAATGTAGCTGAGGTTAGATTGCTATTTTGGGGTTTTCATTTTGAAATTTGTTGTGGTAGAGAGGGAAAATTAATAGTGTTTATTTGAAGGACARTTCTTTAGAAACTAAGAATTGAATAAATGATCATTTCTCTTCYTAACATTTAGATGAAAATGTAAAAATATCTTCTTTATTGTCAGACCTGTTTAAAACGAATTCGACTTGATCTCCCTATTTTACATGAAGATTTTGTTAGCAATGATGGTAAGTATGTAGGTTTATCTGCTTTATAACAATTTTGCTTTTAGAAATGGATCCAGTTGGGGTAGGTAACAGAGGACTGTATTCTCAATCTGTATTGTGTATATAATCAGTACAGTTGATAAGAACAAGTTAAAATGCATTAGGAAATCTAGAATGCATATGAAATTTGTTTTTTTTCTTTTTTAGGGGAGTGGTACTGGGGATTAAACTCAGGGCCACTCAGCTACTAAGCCATATCCCCAGCCCTATTTTGTATTTTATTTAGAGACAGGTCTGAGTTGCTTAGCACATGCCATTGCTAAGGCTGGCTTTAAACTCATGATCCTCCTACCTCAGCTTCCCAAGCCACTGGGATTCCAGGCGTGTKCCACCACGCCTGGCTGAAATTTGTTTCTTTTTTTTTAATATTTTTTAGTTGCTGACAGATCTTTTTTTTTTTTTTTTCATACGTGGTACTGAGAATCAAACCCAGTGCCTCACACATACCAGGCACGTGCGCTGCCACTCAGCCCCTGAAATTTGCTTCTTAAAGATATAGTTGCAGGGCTGCGATTGTGGCTCAGTGGCAGAGTGCTTGCCTAGCATGTGTGAGGCACTGGGTTCAATTTTCAGCACCACATATAAATAATTTTTTTAAAAAATGTGAACTTGTGAGAATTTGTCTGACCATTAATCCTTTATAGTGTTTGTTAATAAAAATATGTATCAAGATAGAGGGTCGGGCATGGTGACACATGCCTGTAATACCAGCAGCTCAGGAGGCTGAGGCAGGAGGATCGCAAGTTTAAAACCAGGCTCAGCAACTTAGTAAGGCCCTAGGCAACTTAGTGAGGCCCTGTCTCAAAATTTTAAAAAATTAAAAAGGACTGAGGATGTGGCTCAGTAATTAAGTGCCCCTGGATTAGGCAGAATACAGTGATGATGAAAGTTTGCATTTCACTTATAGTGCACATTCTGAATGTAGGATTTTAATAAGACTCATGTGACTGTTCCTGATGTTGATTGCATTTGTTAGTTGTACAGTGCAACCATAGACAGTCACACACATTAACATAGATGGTTCCTGCCGACAGGATCTGTACAGTTATCAGATTTTCTGTGCGATGGCTCCATACATGTTTTGTAACTTTTAATAGATGTGGGAAATACAGGTTCCATATTGAATCCCCCAAAGTTAATTATAAGTTGCTTTTAAAAGTGAGATGGAGGGGCTGGGGATATAGCTCAGTTGGTATAGTGCTTGCCTCATATGCACAAGGCCATGGGTTCCATCCCCAGCACCACAAAAAAATAAAAGTGAGATGGAGTTTGGTGTGATGGTGTACACCTGTAATCCCAGTGACTTGGAAACCTGAGCAGGAGGATTGCAAGTTCAA